ACTCAAAAAGTTGTACGAAATATTCCTTGCAAGGCCCTTTCAACACGTGAAATGGCTCTCTGTCACCGGCAGCTTTTGCAGGCAACACTAAGAAGGCCCACATTTGCAGGGACCCCAACTTCCATACTAGATTTCCCTTGGCAGCTCTTTTATATCATCTGAAGAAAATCCTGCAAGCATGGATGCTTCAGCCACGCAGACCCCTTTTGCCTAAGGATCATCAAACATCAGCCTCCTCAGATTTACCACATACGGATGGAAGGTAAGATGTGTCTGTGTAGATGAAAACTCTACCACAGGTCCAAAACAAGACAGAAAAAAAAAAAGAGGAAGAATTTCTACAAACAAGATCGTGATTTTTTTTTAAAGCTATTTTACCTGGAATCTTTTTGCAATTAAAAAAGCATATCGTCACTCGAGTTTCCCACCTAAAAATTTGTAAAACAACCGAATGAAGAGAATAAAAAGATTAAGTAAATAGATGAGGTCTATAAATACCCAAAGAGCTCTCAGAGTTCAAAAATCTTTCTCGCGTTCTTACCTCCTGTTACAACATAAATAATAAAAGGTGTTTAAGTCCACAAGCTTTTATCTCCTTGTCCTAATCTATAGGAAGCTCTTATCATCTAATATTTCTTGATTGTGTGCATGAGCATGTGCACACACTGTCCTGGCAGCCTGTATGTCAGATCTAGTCTTTTCTACTTTTTTTCTGTCTTGGCTTTGACCCAGGATGACTCTAACTTTGGTTCTTACAAGCCCCACCAACCTGCAAGGCCAGGGGAAAGGGTCCCCCCTGCACCCACAAATATCTCTGTCTCTTTACTTCTCATCTCTCCTATCAGCCTGTCAGTTCAGACTACACTCCAGGGGGGATCTCTGAGCAAGTCTAAGTCTCACGTCACTCGGAGGGGTGATTCGATGAACAGCTGAAGAAGAGCATGTCTAGTCCGAAAGGTTCAGACAGATTTCTGGCCAGACAAGAGATGGACTACAGGCTCCTTTCAGAGAGAAGGGAAGACCGAAAAGGTCATTCTACCGGCATTAAAGTTAGATGATGGAGACAGATGATGACGGATAGATGATAGATGGTAGATAATAGACAGAACAGATAGATGATAGATACACAGATAGGTAAATAGATGATAGATATATAATAGATATAGATATAGACAGATAGCAGATGATATATAATAGATAGCAGATGCTGGATGATAATAGATAAGAGATGGTAGATTATCAGATAAAGTGATTAATTGGTAGATAATAGACAGTAGATTATCAGATAGATTAATTGATTTGTAGGTAGATAGCAAACAGATAATAGATATTAGATGATAGAGATCGATGATAGATAATAGCAGATAGGTAGGGAGATATGATGAAGATAATAGATAATAGCAGATAGAGATAGATAGATAGATAGATAGATAGATAGATAGATAGATAGATAGATAGATAGATAGATAGATAGATAGATATGAAACCTGCTGGTCAAGGGAGCTAGAAAATGCAGCCCTGATGGGCTGGGAAGGTGGTTCAGTGGTAGAGTGCTTACACCTCATGCATGAGGCTCTGGGTTCGATTCCTCAGCACCACATACACAGAAAAAGCCAGAAGTGGCGCCGTGGCTCAAGTAGTAGAGCACTGGCCTTGAGCTGAAGAGCTGAGGGACCGCGCCCAGGCCCAGACTTCAAGCCCCACAACTGACAAAAATAAAATAAAAATTAAAGAAAATGCAGCCTGTAGACATCAGCTTCTACAGTAACAGACAGTGGAATAAGAGAACAGGAAGCCAGATATTCTAAAAGAATCGGCACCATCCATTAATTCCACCCTGAATAATAAAATTATACACTCGGGAAGGTCCCCTCTTAGAGTGAACCAGTGGGCTGAAAAAAGGGGAGGGGGCTATGTCAAACTATGTACTTCATCTCTGCAGTGTCATTGTAAGCAATGGAAATCTCTATCTAAAAAAATCATTGTGCTCAGACATAGCACTGCTATAGCCCAAGTGACCGTGGGGGGTTAGGGGAGGGGAAGGGTGTGTGTGTCTGTCTGTCTGTCTGTCTGTGTGTCTGTGTGTGTGTGTATGTGTTAAGTTTCTGAGTCCAGTCAGTGAATTCTCAATTCTGTTTCAGTGATTTCTTCCTTCCCTTCTCCTCTCATGCTGCTTGATAGGAGAAGGGGCAGCTGTTGGTTTTTATCCCCACCCCGGTTACAGTTCTCAAACTAGACAGAAGGGAGGCTCGGAAAGCGGCCCTGTAGTTACACTGAAGACCTACCAGAAATCCATAAAGAAATTACATGGCAACCCAGGTCCTATTGAATCAAACTGCTAATTGCTTCTTTAAATGCTCATTTCAAAAGGTTTTTGCATGGAATGTATACCTATTTTAGAAGGATATATATATATATATATATATATATATATATGTATATGTATATATATTTACTATCAAAAGCTAAAGCAACACAGTAAGGAAATGGTTTGGAAGAAGTTTAAACATACACACACACACACACACACACACACACACACACAATCTATACCACACAGGTACATTGGATCCAAAAATTAGGAAATTAGAGGAAGAGACACAATAGTCTAAATGAAGGTATTATAAAAAACAGATTGAGGTGGGCATGTACACCATATTAGAACATGAAGTTTTTCATGCATGTCAGGACATTACCCACTATGAACTATAATACGTGAAACCTAAAAGAAAATGATACTTCTAGCGTAAACATGTCATCAGGTAAGCTAGCCAGTGTACACAGAGTTAACAACAATGTCTCTAATAGCGTCTGTGAGTCTATTTTCATAAGACAAATCAGCAATTCCTCCACACCTCTGTTTCGAACTGCACACTCTCAGAAGCAGAAACTCTGGACAGAGTTCCTAAGTCTTCCCCAGGGTACACCTTACATGTTTCAAAGAACTTGAGTAGCTGTCAATGAATTCTTATCATTCATAAGTTTACTAAATATAGAGTAGTCAGTGACATTAATAATACCTTTAAACCCCTGTACGCAGAAGTCAAAATTTCAGAAATCAGTATGACTTGGGATAAAAAGGGAAAGGAAGAAGGAGAGAGAAAGGGGAGAGGAAGAGAGGGGGAGAGAAAGAAAGAGTAAGAGAGAGGAATACAGCTCAGTTTCAAGACACCACATACACATATATACACATACATATATACATATACATACACACACACATATTGCTCTCTAGATCCTCCATTCCCTTCTATATTTCTGAAAGGGAAAGAGGGGGAGAGAGAGGGAGAGAGAGAGAAAAGAGAGAGAGGAATACAGCTCAGTTTTAAGACACCACACACACGAGAGCGCGCGTACACACACACACACACACACACACACACACACACACACGGCTCTCTAGATCCTCTGTTCCCTTCCATATTTTTGATATCTTTCTCCAAGCCGTCAACATTTTTTCCCCATCCCTCCTCACTGCTTTGGCCATTCTTCCATAACCTCTCCGGTCCTCCCTAGACTCCAATATTCCCCAAGCTCGCAATTTTTCTCTCCAGTCTTTTATGTTCTTCCACACACCAGAGCTCCCTAACTAAAGCTGGTTATTGATGTACAGTACCAATGTTTTAGTGCACTAGCAGAATCAATAAAGGAGGAAATACTGCTTTGTCAGGTTTCACCAAAGCATTCTGGGAAGGTTTACTGCCCTGGGTGGTTGCAGACTGGAAAGGGGCAGGCCGGCGCTGGACCTCCTTCGCGGTGAGACACGGGCCTCTTCCACCCTCTAGTGACTGCCCAGGAGTAAGACAGAGCTGGAGGAGTTTTGAGACAGGGCACACACAACCACTTAGGCGCTCTCAGGTTTATTTCTAACAAACTGGCAGGGTAACAACTTGCCTTGGTCACAGGTACTTGGAAGTGTTCAAATGCAAAGCGTGGCTGTATTTCAGTTACGTGGGAGAAAGGTTTCTCCTTCTACCTCCCAAACCAAAAGGGATCCTAACCCAGCCTCGTTTCTTCTTCTCCTATCTTCACACCTTCTTCTGCTCCTGCTTGCTGTCCCTCAAACACACACACGTACACACACGTGTACACACACATACACACACACTTTGACCTGAAGGTATCCTAATTGTAAACTAGTTATTTTATAGAGGAGGCATTCTGTTAGAAGTTAAAGATCTCACCACATGTGCACATCTATAAGTACAACTTGATTATGAGAAAAGCCTCTGCCTGTCACACACACCACCACCACCATCACCACCACCATCATGGTAGTAGACCTGGATGTAGGCCGTTTAATTAGAATTATTTTCCTAAGAATTTCTCTTTCAAAAGTAGCTAAATGAAGTTAGAGGGCTTTCGTTTACTTTTCTAATAATATTCGCACTTGGTCTCCTACGTGATAATTCACACACTAAATAACTTGATCAAACTATTACATGCAGAAAGTCCTCTTAGAATACCTAAGCACTACTGTATAGCCACTGTGTAACTGCTTGACATTAGTAACAAAACAAAACAGCCATCATCTCACGAAGAAATAATTTGGGATATTCTTCCGCAAAGAGTAATAGCTTCTTATCAGAAGACATTATCCAAGAGACTTAGAAAACATACCTCACATTCCTTCCTCTCAATCTGTACATTGCCCCAATAATACTGATGGTAGTTTTTAAATTTGACGGTAAATAACTTCCTAAAGGAATAAATCTAACCATGTTATATGCTTCATAATCCAAGCTTAAGGATATATACAATTCAAACATGTCTGGTACATATGAAATGTTACCATTCCAACAAGCAATGAGTTCAAGTATCTGGCCAGGCCCATTATTAAATGAAATTTTAAAGGAAAACTGTTGCCTTCTTATATGTTAAGAGACAACAAATACCATGACAAGTAAAGGTTGAGTGATGTCCAATATGTATACATTTCTCTTTGCTACAAAGATGAAGTTTCAGCCACAGTATGGAAAGGAAAACACAGATATACTCACCTTGTTGGCACTTATCCTCTTCCGATGTGACCACCGCTAAGTTTGGCACCATTGGATAATCAAGACGGTAACAAAGGAACAGAGAAAAGTCATTAATGAAGTGATTGTACTGTGTTATAGGCTATAATTTAAGTGCTATGGTTAGCATTCAAATTCTGATGCTGTGAACAAAGCACATTTAAGCAAGAAAGTACGAATGCTAAAATTCCCATTTGTGTGTTTGGGCTACCTAATTTTCTTCCAGTGTTTAGTCTACCCAGCCCATAGCAAATGGATACTGTTCTGTTCCTAAAGGTATTATTGAAATGACATTGAAACTGGTACCATTTTCTCTTTTTTTTAAAAAAAGTGGAAAATCATGTTTCTCCTATGTGAAAACACTTATGACTGATGTTAGTTCATGTGTAAGTTTCTGTATTCCCAGAAAACAGCAAATACTATTCGATTAAATTTCATAAGCTAATACTCAATATCTCAAACAACAGGAAAATATGTGGAGTCATTATTTCCTAATTAAGAAAAATAAGTAACTACAGTCCTGAGTAAGAGAAGAAAAATATTTTCCACGTGGTTCTTCCCTCATCTTTAATTAGACATGCTGAGCCCGCTGAGCCACAACTACAATTAAAATTAAAACCTGGCAGCTGGTGGCTCACATCTGTCATCCTAGCTCCTAAGGAGGATCTAAGGATTGTGGTTCAAAGCCAGCCAGGGCAGAAATTCCATGAGAGTCTTATCTCCCATTAAGCAGCAAAAAATTGGAGTGGTGGTGTGGCTCGAAGAGCACCAGTCAAGTCAAGGGAAACAGAGAGACCCTGAGTTTAAATCCCAGGACTGGTACAAAAAGGATTTAAAATTAAAATGTTCTCTCTGCAAAACCAACTTCTTACTCCGGTGAGCATTCTGTTTCAAGGCTCTACTTAGGCTGCTCAACCAGCTCACTCACTGGTGGTTAACATTTGGATAAATTTCGAATACGCTAACTCAGTTATAAGCCTAATGGAGAAGACCACATTTACGACTGGACTGAAGGAAAAAAAATAATAATCCTTATCAGTTAACTGGCCTATCAATTTGTCCATATGCCATCCCTGGAGATGAGACACCAGAAATAAATGGTCTTTAGGATAAATTCACTCCGATTCCATTCCCCAAGAACTAGAAACGTTGGTACAGAAATGACTTGAAAATATTCTTTGTTCAGAACACCTCCCCTGGTGAAATGAGGAGGAAATCAACATGTAACATGTGACCAAGAGTTCTAGAAACTACCACCAGGATAGTAAAATCAGTTCTTCCAGCTGGTATTTTCTCAGTGTGGTATCACGTATTTTCACCCAACCCAAATGCCAAAATTAATTAGCATCTTGCAAGAGGATGAAGCTATTTAAATCCTACTCACATAGAATTCTTTGCTTTTTTGGGTGATAATAATCAAAATGGATTATTATTAAAGAATATCCATAGAAAAATGACTTCCCCTCATGGCTTACCCTTCGCTACACACTACCACATTAGAAGCACCATACCTCTTCATCTCGATCTTCTCCATAGCACTAGGAAACAAATACTCTCCTTATCTTCCTTCCTCACCTAAGGAAAATGAACTGAGAGGTTCAGAGAAAGGTGTAGGCTTGATTAACTCTTGGTGGGACTGGGATTCAAAGCCAGGCAGGCTGACAAAAAAAAAAATCTTTTCATTGCATTCTTCTATTTACTCAGGAAAAAAAAGTATTTGTCAGCCTTCCAACAAATATTTTAGCACCTGATTGGAAGATTCCAGTTCTCATCTGTGTTACCTAGGTCTCAATCTCTACCCAGGAGGGAAAACTCGGGACAAGTTGTAGGTGTGAAGGTTTTTCTTGTGTGTGTTGGGTGTGGGGGGAGGACAGGTTGGTTCTGAAGCAACAATCACTAACTTCATGGTTGATGGAAAGAAAAAATAAGTGGAGACAAAACTGAGGATCCCTGCTGAAGTCCCTCCATCGAAACTGGAATCGAAATAGAAATGTATCAAAGGTACCTAGTTATCTATGGCCCACTGGTCCCAAGGGCTAGTCCTTTCCATTTAAAAACCTCAATATAAAAGTACCTTGAAATATGAACTTCACTTGATGAAAAGAACAAATGTTTTCTCCTATCTATGACACTCCAAGGGCCCATCACACGCGATTGAAGTAGAAAAGCCACATATGGCGCAGAATAAATTGTTATGTGAGTATTCCTAAGCGATACTCTGACCAATATATAAAGAGAAAAAGGCAAGCTGCCAACGAGAAGAGCCAGGGTTTTGTATACGGTCTCCGTAGAAATATACAAAATAAATAGGTTGTACACCAGATCTCCACCAGACAAGAAACCACATGAGTGAGCACACTGTCTAACCAATTCTTCAACACAGAAGACAGGCTGGGGAGGGGAGGGTTAAATATAAGAAGAGCCAAACACAGTAAAGCAGGAACTACCCATGGACTTTGAACTTGAAAAAAAAATTGAGTTGCTTTACAAACACCCAGTCCAAGGTGTATCCAGTATTAATCACTCTGCAATTTGAAATCAAGTAAACCTACAATCCCACTTACTTGGCCTCTCTAAATTTGGGGACCAATTTAAATGTATTTAAATGGCAAGATGACTGCTCTAATAGACTACAGAAAAATCCACTAAGTAGTCATTTAAATATGTCAATGTGTTCATGCAGGAAATGATGTAACTTTACAAACGCCACTTAAATACACAGGAACATTTGAGAACACATTGGTTATTTTAAGCTAGCTTCCAGCTCAAAAATTATTTTCAATATCAATTTCAGACATCATAACATCAAAATACCAGATTCACTGACATCCTAAGTATGGGCTACTTCTTTAAAGCAAAAAAAAAAGTGATCAGCAGAGATTTGTTCTGTCTCTGTTGAGCAAACTTACCATCAGGAAATCCAAGTTAAAACGCAAATGTTTAGTTGGCACTAATAATTAAAAGGGGGCACCCCAGTTCTTCTACTTCTTGAAGCCCACCTTCTTTGTATTTGCTAGCAAACCACTGTTAATGTTGAAATTACAACTCACAAATTACAGCTCTCAGTGTTGGTATGTAATATGGAGATTATTCTCCTTGTCTGACTCTTGTCTGTTGAAACCTAACTCACACACAAGTGTCAGATTGTTCACAGTGAACTCCACCCAGGCAAGACAGAAACACATTTTATTCTTTCTTCAGCAAAATGAAAAAAAAAATGCCTTTCAAGTAAGTTATAATAAGGCACATTTTTGTTCTTATTTTAGTGTGCAGGATTAAAAACGTATAATCCCAAAACATAAAGTGAAATTGTGATTTACAGTCATCTGTATGTTCCCGAGAACAGAGTCTCCTTTGCGTCCTGATAGAATCGGGTGAGTTTTAATTACAGTAATACTAATCACATCTCTAGCCAAGTTAGAGATAATTCTTTAATGTGCTTTCCTGTCAGTCATTCAAATGACACGTAGGTAACCACAGATGGGTTCCTTAAGTTTATAAAGAAAAGTGTTTGTTTCCTCCTAAAAATAATTATAAAAATGTCAATAGCCCAATAATCAAATGGAAATCACAGAAGCGAGCTTAAAAAGAATAAGAGTTTTCTGCTCACATGTCTCTTGAAATCCCCCTGCTTCACAACAAGGTTCAGATTTAACACAACCACTCCCATGTCGTCTTCTAAGCTGTTTGGATCTTCCAGTTTTAAAATATGCTCAGTCGTTCTGTAAGCGAAAGGCAAATACAATAATGATCATTTTAACACCGACTGGTCTTTTGGCACCATAGATAGCTTATGGTAAAAAGTCTCCTATCTCTTGTGAAGGATCAAAATGCCAATGCTACACGAGAGCCCCAGAGTCTGTGAAAAGAAACCAACCACTGTCAGGGCAGAAAACTTGGTTTGGTATCATCTGATCCAATAGCCACCTTACTCATCTGCAAGGCCATGTGGCCCAAATAAAAGATAAACTATTGGTCTTAAGTGAATGAGCCTGAATGTTTAACAATGAAAACCCCAGCACGTATTTCCAGGTGTGTTATAAAAGGTTTAATGTCTGAAAAACTAGATTTGTCATCTGCAACGAGCAGAATCTAACAATAACACCAGTCTTTCATTTATTTGGGTTGCTTTCCACAAGTATCACGCATGAGGACCTCAAGTTCCCATTAAGTAGTAAAAATTAATTAATTAATTAACATACCTGTTAAGTTGGAGATCACGGAGAACAATGAAAGCAGAGCCCATGAAGTCCGAGGTGGTTAAGTCTCGATCGTACACCTACAGAGCACAGAGAGGTCAGGAATGTGTAGGAATGTGCACAAACCCACAGTTTCTCAAATGAACAACAAGGATCCTTTAAAAAAAAAATCTCTCCTTCACACCTGACAATAATTTGTACCATCCACTTACAGAGAAATGTAAACCAACCCTATAGAAAGAAGAAATGTATCCAGCCTTACTCATGGGGGGGGGGTGGAGGAGGGGTATACATTGAAAACAGATCACTTCCTGTCATTTGAATGAGATCTCATTCTAAGTTAGCATCTCTCCTTATGGGAAGCAGGGCTTAGGAAACAGAAATTTGCTAAGCATTCTACAGTGGGACCCCCTCTCGAACCCAACTCCTGCTCTTTAAGCCCAGATGTTGGAGCAATCGCCGGGGAGCTTGAAGTGCTCTGAGGTATAAAGTGATCCTCACAGGCAAAGGTTTCTGTACGGCGTCTTTACTTGCTGCTAGTAACAATCCTCCCTTGTTTACATACGGTCAGTGGAGATAGGATTTCACACTCAGTCTATCCCATTGACTTATAGACACTATCCATCAGGAGACTATATGAAGAATCGACAGTGACCAGCTGGCTTCCAAGAAGGCGTAAGAAACCCCAGAGACGATCTTAGGATTTCCCCCCCCCCCAGCCATCCGTGATTACCTTCACCCGCAGCTTCTGATCGAGGCTCTGAATTGGCAGCACAACGATTTCATCCCATACTGGGTTCAGGTTCTTATAGATGACTTTGCTTTTGTACAGAGTCTTCCCATTCAGCTTAAATTTCACATAGGGATCGCTCGTGCCTTTCAAAGGAAAAGGAGAGACAGACAGGGAGAGAGAACAAGAGTGTTTAAGTAGACATAATCCGTTCAGGGCTGGGGCTCAGCCAGGTCTCGCTGCTCAGACCTCAAAGGCCCCTCTGGTGGAGGAGAGAAAGGGAATGAAATAATTCAGGAGTAAATGACTAATTCCTTCTCTCTCTTTTTACCTTTACTAGAATATGAACGGGCCCTTTGAGGTTTTGTTTTGTTTTGTTTCCCCCGTTTGGCCCCATGCGGGTCTGTCATCTCTCTGCTACCCACAAAAATTCAAGGCATCAACTCAAGTGTCAAGAGTCCTGGGGAGACGGAGACGCAAGCCCCTCTCCCCAAGGAACAGCCAGAGGCCCACCAAAAAGCAGAGCAAGTGAATCTGCAAACCTTCTGCAGCTGGTCCGCCCAACAGAGCCCCCACCCTCGGAAATACCATCACAATACACAAAGCCCCTCCGCAGCCACACGCTCAAAGGACCGGCCAGCAGAGACGACAGAGCATGGCACTGAGCGCACAGAGATTAAGTCGAAGAGCCTGGCCATTCTCCCCTGGCCCCCTGCACCTGCCACACGAGCAGCAGCCATTGTTTCTCCCCCCACCCCGCGGCCTGAGGAGCTCCAAGCCTGCCCAGCCCTCCGCCTTCCTCCCAAGCTGACAGCGCTGGACCTGCCCCGGCATCTCGCATCTCCCGGGGAGCTTTGGAGTGGATGCCAACAACAGAGTGGGTGACGACCTCTCCTCCCCTCCAACCGGCCCAGGGCGGAGAGAGATGACTGAAGATGGTTCTCCACCGTGTTTCTCCCAGATCGATTGAGGAGGTTCTATTATTATTAATAACAACAGCTTGCAAAACATAAATACATGGATGATGTGCTGTGCCTTTGTTACACGCACACGTGCGTATCATTTTATAATGATTGAGAAACAAAGACAGCACGAAGGAGAAGAGGCCATGAGGACCGAGGCTATCACAGTTAATTCTGAAACACAGCAGTGCTCACGAGGATGCAGGGTACAGGGTTCTATCCCCTGGTATACCCAACCACGCCAGCGAAAGCCACCGTGAGAGCCAATGCAGCATCATCGGAGATGAGTATGTGGAAAGGCAGTCATGTGACCCGTACCAAGCCATGAAGAGCCCCAGATTGAATTCCCTGAATAGTTGAGGTGTTTTGGTTTGTTTGCTGTGGTGGTGGTGGTGGTGGTGGTGGTTTGGTGGTGGCTGTTTCACCAAGTTCTTCCTTTGGCTTCTATGGTCTAAAAATGGCTGCAAATAAATTCAGGGAAGTTTCCCATGATGTGAAATCAAAGCAGCCTCATAATCAGGGTATGATCACTCTGCCTTGTTTGAAAGGTAATTAATAGAATTAAGAGACTCCATAAGCCACACCCTTGTTGATCCACCCTTGTTCCAATAGAGCCAAGGATATGAACTTTAAACAAGGACATTAAAGTTCAAATACACACACACATACAAATACACACATTCAACTATCACTTTTTAAGTTGGGTAGCTGAGCCCAACATTTGTGTTATTGGACACACACACCATATTGAGCAGTGTTTGTGTGAGGCACAGTTAAAAATAAATGCATTCGTAGACACCCGTAGAATTCTCAGTAGTGAGCAAGGCGTCTGCCCACTTCCTCCTTTCTTTAACACCACAGGAAAATACCTCTGGCAAGTCAGACGTTAACGATCATCCTGATTATATATATATATATATATATATATATATATATATATATATAAATATATATATGTGAAAGTAGGGGAAAACTATAATAAAAAGAGGCCTTTAATTAAATGAAACTGCCACTCGGGGATCAGGCTTTCATGCTTGTCAGCCTACTCTCAAAATAAACATCTCAAAACTCGGCCCGTGGTGTCAGTTTCTCACAGGCAAAGCATACTGGGTAATCCCAGACCTCTTGACAGCTACATAATGTTCAAACTGTTTCACGGGTGAATGGCGGCAGTTGCATAAAAGAAAATATTAATGTCTGGAATTAATAGAAGAAAAGGACCGGGGGTTGACAAAGGCAAACAAGGGAAGAGGGTGTCAAGTTAGTGCAGCGTTAATTGTTAGGAGGGGGAAAAAAAAATATATTGGAGAAAGGCAGGGAGCATTTGGTGATTTTCACTCCTTGAGCCTAAGTGACTCGTTGTCAAGTAAGTGACATCTCAACTAGGCAGGTTCTGAAAGGGGTCAGCTTCCCAGAAAGGCAGCCGCCCCCCACCCCCCAGCCTCTCCGCCTGACGAGATGACACCTGAATGGGTGGACTTCCACCCCGAAGACGGGAGCGTCATCCACAATGAGACTCCAGGTGGAGAAGGAAGAGGCCTGAAGCCCGGGGATGCAGCCTCCATCCTGGGGCCTCCGTCCTGGGGCCTCCGCCAGGTCTACCCAGTTAGACACCCAGAACCTCTCACTCAGAGTCTCAAGATGGTTCGAGGAATCTCCCTACAGCCGTGTCTCCCCTGTGTCTGCACACCGCAGCCTCTAGATGATGCCACAGAGCCGAGCAACTGCAGACGGACAAACGGGCAGCCTGGGTCAGTTGTGTCTGCCCTGGGCAAGTGCCCTCAGAGGGGCCGTGACCTCGTGAACGGGGCCCGCCCGCACGGCGGCTGCGGCGGCTGCAGACGCATTCGCTCTGCGCTGCTGTTAGAATCTGCGAAGGATTTAAACTGTGAGAAGGCGTACAATGAATATGCGCAACCTACCTACCACGTACACACACGTATTCCTAGACACACATATCCATCATATATGCATACGTGTGTGTGCATGGTGCACACCTGAACATACGTAAGACATGGGTGTATGCATGGGCGTGGACACGTTCCCATGCATGTACATGCAGTCGTGTGTATATACACCGCATGCACATGAGTGTGTATAGACATACATGTGTGTACATGCATCCATGCACTTAGGGGGCCACGGAGCCACACAGGGGGCACACGGGGTACACAGGGGTGCACAGGGTGCTCTCTGGGCATTCCAGGAGAGACATGGGTGTTTTGTCTCCTGATCCCTGGCTTGTCCTCCCCAGCAGAAGTAGTAAGCTCCACAAGAACAGACCACACCCCCATACTCTTTGCAAGGGATTTTGTCTTTTTAATAATGTGCATGTGCAGCACAATCCCATAGATGGGTCCTGTGAACCTCCACCTTGTCTACACACCCCATTATAAATATCCTAAGCCCATCCCTCCTGCCCAGCTTTTCCAAAGGTTATCACACAATCTGACTTCACTGAGTGTAGATTACATTAGAAAACATCCATCTAGCCGGGCGCCGGTGTCTCACACCTGTAATCCTAGCTACTCAGGAGGCTGAGATCTGAAGATCGCGGTTCAAAGCCAGCCCAGGCAGGAAAGTTTGTGAGACTCTTATCTCCAATAAACGGCTAGAAAACCGGAAGTGGTTCTGTGGCTCAAGCAGTAGAGCGCTCACCTTGAGCTGAATAGCACAAGGACAGTGCCCAGGCCCAGAGTTCAAGCCCCACGACCGACAAAAAAAAAAAAACATCCATCTATCTATAGGCATAGATATATCAGATTATCTATACACATGTATATACATGTGTATACATGTATACATTATGTATACACATGTATACATATACTTATCAAATATATGCATTCTATATATTAGGTACATATGCATATCATATATACATATTACATATATAAATACCTATCAGATATATCTATATATACAAATGGATACATTATATATATACATAATTAGAAGGATGGATAGAGAGATTAGATAGATAAATGATAGAGGGATAGATGGATGGATTAGAGAAATGACAGATGGATGGAGAGATTAGATAGAGGGATAGATGGATAGATGGATGGATTAGATAAATTAAATGACAGATAGATAATTAGATAGATGGATGGACAAATTAGAAAGATATATTAATAGATAAATGGTAATTGTATAGTTGGATGATGGCTTAGATAGATGGATTAGACAGATAAATGATAGATAATTAGATGGGTGGATTAGATGGATGGATTAGATACAGATAGATAGATAGACAGACAGACAGACAGACAGACAAGCAGACAGACAGATGTGATAGATTTGAAAATACAAGCTTCCTTGTGTAACTACTCTATTTTTGGCTTTGTAATTAAATGCCAGGTACAGAAGCAATTTTCTCACTGTAAGCTTTTAAATCAATTTAGCCATGTTTCTTTCCATTGATTTGTCTTTGTTGCTGTTTTTTAACACTTAACTGGTTAGTCCGGCTGGAATTATTTTAGCATGAAGAATGAGTGAAAATTGGGTTCACTGACGAAGAGGGGAGAAAATGATCAGAAACAACCTTTACAAAGATGAGTCTGGAGACAGCTTGTAACATCGAATAAAGAACAAAAATGAGATTAAGGAGAGGGGGAAAAAGTCTGCTGGCCGAGATGATAAAGCCGGAGAGCATTGAAGGGCAAAGAGAAAGCTAATCCAGGCAGTAAGAAATACCTGCTGGGGGTCTCAAGAAGCATGCTCCCAGCACCAGGAGCGAAAGCCAGCTGGAGAAGCAGCGACTGCTACAACCTTGCTTGAAACATATACTTAGTGTGACCAAGTAACAGAAGACTGCTCAGAAATGCAGCAGGACACAAGGAGCTACTAAAATAATCAGTTTAAAAGTTTCTCACTGCCTTTAAAAAAAATTAATATAGAAAACAAAGTAAGTCCCAGGAAATGAGTTCTCACAAGAGGGGGTGTGGGGCTTGGGGGGAGAAGGGGGAGAAGAATCAACAATTCATTGTATATACCACAAAAGAAAAATAAGAGAAGGGCTGGGCGGAAGGGGGTGAAAATGGCGACCATCGAGATGGCTTGTGTACGTAAACCGCTTTATTAAATGGGGAAAAATTTCAATGCACAGCCTATAAAAAACTAAGATAAGTGAAGGAAGGGGCAGGTGGGAAATGCCAAAAGAGGTAGCATTGATCAAGACACAC